TTTATTTGTAAGATGCAAGAAGAGGTGGTTAAGTTTGTGTATGACATATAAAATTTGTCAATTTTGCTTTCAAAAGGTCACAACTAGGCTAGTTGAACTAGCGATTAGCTGTAACAATGAGCAACGCGATGAGCGAGCAATCAGCGATCATAAAATCGCTAGTTGTGACCTTCTGAAAGCAAAATTGACAAATTTTGTATGTCATACACAAACTTTACCACCTCTTCTTGCATCTTACAAATAAAAATAATCATTATAGTATCTCATTGTTTCATGATTACGAAAAATAGAATTTTAGCTGTAATGAGCAATTGCAAGCTTGTTTTGAGGTACTTTTCTATTTACAATGTTTTCGAATTGATACTACGGATGCTTTTCAATTACGTTCAGTGTTTCCAGTTATTTTTTATACATTTCAGGCCGATTTTGAACTGGTTTAGCAACGCAAAAATTCCAAATTTTTTTCACAATATTGAAATGTCTAAGATTCAGTATCTATACAAATTTCAGCATCTTGAAAATCTTCTAAAATCCTAAGATCCTAAAAATTTAGGTATTCCGTATTCCAATCTCAACCTTCAACCCCTCAATATACTTTAAAATTTTGAGATTTAGAAAACATTTTCAATCTTGAATTTGAAACTATTTTCTGAGTATAGAGATTTTTTATATTTGTAACATTCTTGGAATCAACCACATTTTAAAATTTCTAAGTTTACATTTTTAAAAATTCGAAAAATTGATTTGCAGCTGAATTTTTGCATTTGAATACCACGGTTGAGAAGCATGCAACAAAGGAAAAGGGTTTAGCTATACTTTGACGTTTTGGGTTAAGCCTTATGCAACTAGACAGTGCTTCGAATCCATATTCGCACTGCGGTAAGTTCGAGCTTTGACAATATCTGAGAAGAATTTCCTGTCGATAAGAACGAGATCGATTTGGTTTTCTGAGTGTTAGCCAGGTGATCTCCAAATTGATCACTACTGTCGCTATAATCGAAGTGCTGTGGACCTACCTCCTCTGATGCTCACAGCACCTACAGTCTGAAACCGAATGTAAAATCATAATAAAAATATTAATATTATTTTCAATGATAACCGGTGACTTACGGCTGCAAAATATGCTAAATGACAATAAATATGCATGACAACTCACCGACTAGGTATTCTACTTTCTCCTACTTTTGCATTCCCAATCAAGCTGACATTTTCAATTTTATAGCAGTTTGCTGTTGGGTGAAACCTGTTGAATGCATTCAACACATTCGGCAAGGAGAGAAATCTTACCTCATATTATACAAAAAATGCTTGTGACAAAAATTAAACTTTTATACCCTCGTCAATTTTTAATCAGTTTGATGTCAATCTAATCGAATATAAATTCCCCAATATTGCTCTCCAACTGGCATGATGGTAAAGGGGGTCTCTCAAGCGATCAAATTAATATGAACGTTGGCTGCACCTGGCAACTAAAAGGAATCAGTGAAAGAAAGCAGCCAGGTCCATTTTTATGCTGTCAAAATTGGTTATAAACACTTTTGAAGTTTTGATTGATGGCATCGAGTGAAGTAAATTGTGTAAATTAATGAGAACGAGAACGCTTGGTCATACTTTTGGTGTTTTGCATTAAAACTCCTGTTCAGGTATAGTGAACACAGCAGACGAGTCTACCCTCAATAGAGAGTCACAGCCAAGGCAACTAAAAAGATATTAAAAGTCAAAAGGCAAGACAAGTGAACCGGGCAAAGTAAGTATAGTGGGTATAAATATCATTTGCTTGTTACTTGCGCTAATTGATAAGCACTTTCAAGAAAAGGCGTGAAGAATATTTTATTCCATCTAAACCCTTCCACTGATTGTCTTTTATTGATACGAGTCACCCGTCTGTCATCAGCTGACGTACCCCCATGCTCGTATTAGTTTACGATTAAAAACAACAATATCAACAGTACCAGCGGATAGTGTTTGCTCATTCACCCTTTGTGACACGTTGTGGCGTGCCACGCTGCTGCCTGTTATTAAGATTATGACAGTGCGAATAATTGAGCAGTGATTTGTATATGGAGCTGCCAGAAGGAGGGCACCCCCTGGTGGGTCGTGCCGCGAAAATAGAAAACAATCATTTGCATAAAGGCGTGTAGGAAATTCATTATCCGTTTAGTCGGGTCGGTGGTGTTGGCATGTAGATACGATTGGCATATATTTACGTGGAGCTGTCAAGTTCTGTATAGGATTTACTCAGTGAGTTAGACGACAGTTCTCTCGCTTTGGTTCGAAGTATAGTCGCTATATGCATAGTCTGGCGGATAGAATCTCTGGAAACAATTGAGCTGTCAAATAGGGGAACCAATCGAGCAAATCACGACCAACAACCGAAAATATCACATCAGTTATTGCGAACAAAACTTCGGAAACCCTTTTCTCGTGACTCAAGGCTCGTCTACGCAAACTAACACCATCTTTGGGTTGGGAAAAGTTTCCCCTATCCGATGATGCTGGTAAATTGCGATCAATTGGAGAGGAAAAAATGATCAACGTTTTGTTTATAAAAATTGATAGTACCATTTCAATTTTTAGTCTACAATATATTTAATTGGTTCCGCTTTTTGATAGTTCGAAATTCTATTCGCCAGTCTATAAATATAGCGACTATAGTTCGAAGACGTGTTGGGGAGCTTTGTGAACAAATACCTAACTGCTTTTAGAGCACGTGCTACACCGTGCCACAGAGTCAGCCGTTAATAATGGTGCTGAGGTGGTGAGATATATTGCATTTGTTGCGATAGCTGACTTGACTAGTTGCATTCATCGATACACATTTGTGTATCAATCATTTAAGCTAGCTGCACCGGATTGCTGCGTGCGTAGGTGGAATATTGATCAATGGATTATCTGCTACGTTGAGCTTCTGGAATCTAACGAGAAAGATGGGCATTTGATATCAGTCTTCTGATTGTTGGGATGATTTTAAACTTTTAGGATTGGTAATCTAGTAGTGACATATATTTCAAATGTAGGCGTGGATTTCTCACATACTCTGATCCAAAATTGGAAATGTTTGCTCCACTATCCTCATACGGTTCCGAATCAGGTTCTGAACATCGTCCCAAAATTTGAGTTCATTTGGTCGAAAACTGACTTTAGTATGGGAAAATCAAACTTTTTGTTCATGTTATTCCAACAAGTCACCATAATTTTCTTCCTGACTTTGACGCTCTTTCACGAGCTTTCCCCTACTATCAACTTAGTGTTCTCCAAGCACTTCCACTTAGCTTTCTATGCCAACCAATCAATGAATTTCTACATTGTTAATTAAACGGCTAATCGGCTTCCGTGGAATGAAGAAAGTTGCCAACTTTCAGGACTAGAGACGCTCGAACGACAGCGCTCCATCGCTCAACCAGTCTTTTTGGCAAAAATTCTGAAAGAAGAACATGATGCCCTGAAGATCCCCACACAAATTAATTTCTACGCACCAGAAGACTAAGCCAGCGGTATTTCCTTCATCTTTGTTCGCAAAGTGTGGAATATGAACAACATGACCGTATTAGATTTATGTGTAGCACTTTTGAAGTTTTTTTTAATTATTTGTCTTAAACTTGATCACGCGAACCTTTCAACGACGACTCTCTTTAAGACGATAACTGTTTCATACCGAAGGAAAGGAAGGATGTAGAAAATGCATTAAATTTCAAACCCCAACCAAAGTCTCCAAGTTCGAGAAAATAATATTAACAAGTCTTAAATTGTAATGATACAATCATTATAAACGAGTTTTCTTGAAAACATGTCCCCAAATTTAATCCAATACGTAAAAGTATTTAACAGTTTTTCTTATCGGATGAAAAAAACTTACTTTGATTAAAACATATTCAAATCTATCGGTAAAAGCAATTTGCCGAAAAGAGACGATGCGTCGCGCAAAATACTGGAAAGTTAAATTTTATACTCATGTTTTATTCATATGAAAATGGTTCGAAGGTTGCATTTGCTACTAGAAGCTGAATTGCCCGGGAGGAGTTTACACATTGATAGCGATGGATTATTTTTGAAAAGAACAAAGTGGAAATACCGGCTTTCTATTCTTCTTCTTATTATTATTATTCTTCTTCTTCTTCTTTCCTTTATATAACGTCTGCCTCTGTTCCGCAATCTAGTGCCAATTACCGACGGAAATCGATTGCTATCTATTGACGGCAATCGAATGTACAGGAAGTCAGCTTTCCACCCCTGCGTTGGATATCGCACCCATTCAACACAAATGGGCCGGGACCAACGGGTTTACGTCCCTTCCGAAGGAAGACGTGACTAAAGATTTTTATGCCTCAGAAAAATCTCACCGACCTCGGCTGGGATTGAACCCAGACCCATTGGGGTGAGAAAGCAGTCACGCATAACCACTACACCACCGGCGCTGGCCCTATACCAGCTTTCGCAATACCTTTGCCTACTGTCATCAGGTCAGGCCAGCGTTTATAGTCTTTATTTACCCACTTGACAATAATAGGCGAATGTATTGCCAAAGCCAGCATTTTTCCTCCTGCCAGCCAATTTATGAAAAGAAGAAATGTTTTTTATAACTTTTTTCTTTTTTGAACATCAACCAATTATTTTTCGATTTTGATACATTGTTGCACATATAATTTTAAAACAAATATCTTGTAACAACCCTGCATGCAAAATCCTTTACCGATGTAAGAACCTATGACTAACTTTTGAAATAAACTGTCTTCGCAACACTCAAAATGCAAGTATTTAAACCACCTTATCTGACATGGTTCGCAGAAAATGAATCAAACCGGTAATCTCTTTTCATCAGGCGTCTTTTATATATAAAGTGACTCCCGCTATTAACCGCAATCAAATTAAAAATGGTCCACCTTCTTTCTACACTTCAACGTTGTTACGGCGAAGATTTTCGCCAGCGCCAGACGAGCTAGAAGTCAAGCCAGCTTCCAAAGATCACAGATCAAAACAAACCTAATTTGAATGTCTACAAGTTTGTACATTATCTACTTTCAGCCACAGATCCACTCCGATTCGACGTTTCATTCGCGGTGGAACATCATCGTTTTTTTCTTTTCGGCGTTGAAAAAAATCTTCGATTTGGAAGGAGAAACTGTAATAAATTTAGTGGTAGTCAGCAGCTAAACCAGGCGGAGAAGTTATAAATGTTTGGACAGCCTCCAAAAAATAGTAGCGGGGCAAGAAGCGTGATTATCATAATGCAGTCATTTGATAACAGCAACGATTTCTCAGAGGATTTCCAACCACCAGTTCGCGACTGCTACGGATGCAATTCGAGCTACGACAGGTCTCAGCGACGAGCCTCTGCTGATGTTGTTGTAGGCGATTCATTGACTGGAACGATTCCGGAGCTGCCAAATTTGGTCTATTTTTTACAACCGATTCCACGTGCCAGTGACCCAGATTCGTAAAGAGAAATAAAGAAGATAGAAGAATACCACGATGCGTTGCCCATCTGTCAGGCTGTAAAGTTACGCTGAAGCTATATTGGATTGTGATATCAGTGGTACAAATAGAAGGCGACCATGCGAGTGCTACCCTACAGTGATAAATGTGAATAAGTGTTATAAATTTAGTCTAATTAAAAATCAAATCATGCTCAAGCCAAAACGTGCGTTGGTGCTATCAGTGATATCATTGCTAAGCTCGTTGATCTGTGCAGCTCAAAGCGAATATCGTACCTCAAGCAATGGAAGCAATAACAATGCTGAAAAAAGTCATAACAAGTACAACCATTCTTCAAACATCAATAACATCAGCGGCAGCAATGTCATCGAACATAATAATCCCAAAGCGATGAAAGACCTCCAGCGTAATCCACCACCTTCGGATTCAGCCAACGAAAAGACTGCCTACCAGTACGCAATAAATGACAGCGACTCCGGCGAAACGCCTATAATTTCGTCTTCGTCCGCTTCTTCGTATCCATATTTTACTTCCTCATCACCGGCGGTACATCATATCGTTGAGAATATAACCTTCGACGTAGCTTCTGAAGGCCCCAGCACTAGTACTCGTTTATCATATCGTAAGAAGACCGCTGTGCGGTCCGCACCTTACAACTACTATGACCACCACGTCAAGTTCGCAATTCTTCTGCCGGAAAACCCTCGAAGCAGAGATTCTCGAATCCTTTCAACCGTGCGGCCGGTCATCGAGATGGCCACCAAGTTGGTAACCAGACCGGAAGGCGTTCTTCACAATGTGAAAATCGAAATCGATTACCGCGATACGCAATGCTCGTCGACCTACGGGGCGCTTGGGGCGTTCGATATTCTGTTGAAACGCAAACCAGGTAACCGGCGCAGCAAACATAAATTTGGTTTGTTGTTGAAGTTTGGTGGTCAATTGCGTTGGGTGGCTATAGGATGCAGAAGCGTATGTCAATCCAAAATCGACATCGAATGAAATTTATCACTCCTACATACATCTCCCGGTAGCCGGTATCATAAACCACAGCGACACCGATTGTCAACTGTTGGGCCTCTCACTGTAGGTACGTTTCGATGTGTACTCTAGGTCATTGAAGAATGGATGTATTTCACTGAATACATGACTGCATCCAAATTTGTTGGCGCATAGCACATTATTTGATCCAAAATCGCAAACTTTAAACGTTGAATATGTTTCTAAGGTCTCAATCTTGTCAATTTTCTTGGTATTTGTTATTTAGTCAAAGATCTGGAGTTATATCAATCTTGGAATTTTTTTAATTTATTCTTAATTGAAATTCTTAATTGTATGTTTTTGTTGTATTATCTCCGGAATCATGAATTTAATTTTTTTTTTATTTGTTTTTCAAACCAAGCTCTGGAATTTAAGTTTGAATAAGGGAATATAAAGTGCGAAATCTCTAAAAGTCATCTAAAACTGGGAACTTGAACAGTTGGTCATGTTCCTGAATCCTAGAAATGGTTCCAATTACAGGAACCACGTCCAAGTGATTCAGATTCATATCATTTGAAAACACTGGAGGTGGTAGAGTCAGATCTTCAGCAGTTGGTCACTTTTTACTAATGTCTGTCGCCTAAAAGTTACAATTTTCAACTAAAAGCTTCTTTTTTCCTAAATTCAATACGTCTTCACGTATAAATGGGAGCTCAGAAGTAACTTCAATTACTACAGAAAACAGAAGCGGTGTTTTTTAATATAAAACCTAAAATATAATGTCCTGGTTATTTAAAGGCCTAAGATTTTCATGGAATCTTTTGACACCTTCGTACAGTTTTCAAAACGTTCGTGAAGCTTTCAGAACGTAATTAAAACTTTCTCAAACTTCGAGAACCCCTAAACCTCTCAAAACACGACCTTACCAGCAGTGATGTGGTTGTGGGTAGTCACGGGTAGTCGACGACTAAACAGCAAAAAAAAAATTTTGATATCACATCAAAGTGGATGCACTACAATCATGTCGAAAATTTCATGTAATTTTTATAACCACATAAATAAACAAATGCAGTAAAAGCAGCGTAATGTCAGTTCATGCAATGTATTAATGATAATTTTGTCCTTTTAAGCAAGTAATATTAAACCATATTTTCGACATGATTGTAGTGCATCCACTTTGACGTGATATCAAAATTATTTTTTTGCTTTGTAGTACTAAACCAAAACAAAAAGTTTTCAATATTTTCGCCAGGAAAAGCGCAATCGAATTTGAATTAAGAGAAGTAAAGTCAAATTTTCCTAGGAAAAGCGCAATCGAATTTGAATTACGAGAAGCGAGTCAAATTTAACTAGGAAAAGTGCAATCAAATTTTACTTAGAAAAGCGCATTTGAATTTGGATTACGAGAAGCGATGTCAAACTGGACAAGCAAAATAGAATTTGTATTAAGAGAAGCGTAGTAAAATTTTGCAAATGTTTTTTGGAACAATGAGTTGAATTGGCCACAGCAGTTTTATGGTATTTTCGTGACGCTTAGGTTTATGTGTGTATTATTTACAGTATAATACATTTCTCCATGTTAAGGTGATACTCTAAGGAAGCCTTAGCGTGAAACATTAAAGACACAAATGTAAGCTTCCACAAAACATACAAATTTGAAATTGCTACTCCTTGTTTGCTGTGCTACTACAAACAGAGAGTAGCAATTTCAAATTTGTATGTTTTGTGGAAGCTAACATTTGTGCCTTTGAAGTGTCATGATAAGGCTTCCTTTAGAGTATCACCTTAATACCAATTTAATTCTGCCAATTTATGTTTAAAGCTATAACATAAAAAATCTTTCTGCAAAATTCTCACTTATCTCACTCAGCAGAATGGAATCGTATAAAGCTAAGCATACAAAAAATAACAAGTGATGAATCCTTCACACTACTACACTTAAAATAATTCATGTTACGCTCAACTGTCTGTTTTGATCAATTCTGCGATCATCGATGAAAATAGAAGCAATGATAATGCGAACGAAATCAGTGCGGCTTGCACAATCTATTGGGAAACGATTTTTCCCATGCTTGATTGTACATTTCAATCAATGTCCCCCTTTTTGATCTTAAATCACTCTGACCTTTTGTCCAAAAACGCCCGGATCATCTCAGAAGGTCAATGAGAAGTACATAAAACTTCGATAAGTTTAGTGATCTTCAGAGTAGCGCAATCAACATTAATGTAATATAGAGTTCAACTTAGAAAAAGTTAAGGAAAACAGCAGAAAGACTGTTCAAGGGTACACAGCAAAAAAATAATTTTGATATCACGTCAAAGTGGATGCACTACAATCATGTCGAAAATATGGTGTAATATTACTTGCTAAAAAGGACAAAATTATCATTATTACAATGCATGAACTGACATTACGCTGCTTTTACTGCATTTGTTTATTTATGTGGTCATAAAAATTACATGAAATTTTCGACATGATTGTAGTGCATCCACTTTGATGTGATATCAACATTAATTTTTTGCTGTGTACCTCAAGAATGCCCAAAAAGTATTTACAGTAGTTCAGATCTCCATTAAATCTCTTCAATAATTTTTACAGAAATTTTAAAAGGGAATCTTGATGAAGCGAGCATCAGAAAAATAATAAATAAATCCATAAAATTCAGAGATGTTCAGAGATTCTCATCGAAAATCTCAAGGAATATTTAAGGCGCTTATCTTGTTTTCAAGTAGAGTTGCCAGTATTATTTACTTGCTTATATGTTACTTCCGTTAGGTGTGGAAGAAAAGTTGCTTCATTCATGCATAAATCAGATTTAATTTATTAGATTTAAACATATTTGAATTGTTGGAACAGTTATTATTCACTCAATTCCACAAAATTGTACGTGAATTAATTTACCGGATTGGAGAAGGATTTTAATTCAAAATTTTAAACAAACCACTTTAAGTTTAAAAATATCAAGAAATTATACGTTTCTTTACTTGCAATTCACTTTTGGTAACTTCTTGGTAAAGCCACATTTCAGACTTTTTTATTTTATTATAGGACACTCAATCACTTTTTTCAAGAACATCAACCACTATCAGCTTAGAAAACTTTGACTATTTTCAGAGTGCAAAACATTCACCTTCAATGAGGTTTTCATAAGAATTTTGCTGCCATTTGTGCAGCTCCACGCTAAAAGACGAATCAATCAGAGGTGACCTTCTCCTATTTGCATGAAACTTTGCACATTATTATTGCACTTTGTTACGGGAAATCAGTGGTATCGTGAAACCTCACTTTTTACAATGATTACATTCAAACCAAATACAAAATACACGAATCCTTCGAATTTTACTGATATTTATCTATTGCAAATATTATTTTGAAATTTGTGAACGTTTTGAGACCTGATGCCAAGGTAGATTGAGGTAAGGGAGACGTGAGAAATTATTCAAATTTAGGCCAATATTCGAAATGGCGTTTCGATATTATTTAATAAATCATAATACGAAAACGTCTCTTCTAATCGAATTGACGTCAGAGACAAAGTTGTAGGAAAAAATTAACTCTTTCAAGCAAAAAAAAACACACTGTTTAAAATTTGTTCAATTTCCAACCTGGACACTTTTAATTTGTCTAAAATCGTAATACAACAACTAATGGTACAAATTTTTAACTTTTTGAGTGCTTTTTTTGTATTTTTTACAAAAAAAAATTAAAAATAAAGTCTAATAAATTTCAAACATGTTTTCTCAACAATAAAATGAATTTGTATGATTTTGTCAATTTCAAAGTGTCCATCTTGAATATTTAGTTTTTTTTTTTGATTTTCAGCAATTTTTTTTTACCGTTCATATTTTTTCTATAAAGATTAAATATAACTTTGTCTCTACGTAATTTTCATGAGAAGTGAAGTTTTTGTGTTATAATTTAATTAAAAATATCGAATAGGGTTTTAATCTAATTCTGGGCCTACTAAGCACAACCCCACTTTACCTTTCATTTTCGAGCGGATTTTAAAAGAAAATGGAATGTATCTATTTCTGCAGTAGATGACTTCTAAATTTATTCACCTTTGATTGAGCTTTGATAAACAGTCACCAATCGCTGAGATATTGTAAAAGATCTATCACTCCTTCTTAATTCCAAATTTGTTCTGCGAATTTCAATTCTGTCCTAACGCATTGAAACTATAGTCGCTATATTCATAGTCTGGCGGATAGAATTTCGATCTATCAAAAAGCGGAACCAATTTAATATATTGTAGACCAACAATTGCAAAGGTCCTATCAACTTTCATAAACAAAACGACCCACACAATTTTAATGTTCTTCTACCAAAATAACGTTATGTTAGGAAAAATTTGAATGATTTTCCATAACAAACAATTAAACAAAGTTTCAGGCTAATCATATAAATTTTTTTTTGTGGCTATTTGGTCTGAAACTGCTGTTGTATTCACATTTGAATTATTTGTTTGAGAAGCAGTAAAAATCCTATCGATGCAAATGCTGGAAAACATAAAAAAACATAACCTGGTCCAGTGTATTGCCTCAGTAAATCCATATGTTAGACCTAATTTATAGCGGTTTCTCTCATTAAACTTTTTTGATATTCTTTGGAGAGGTGCATAAATCTAAGCGTATCCAACAAAAACCGTTTTCGATCAAAATGAGACTCATGCGATTTTTCAAACAAATGATTTCACAATTAAGTGACTTACTGTGGTCTGGAATAAGAAAAAAAAGCTTATATCTATCATTGAAAACCATAGATGAATAACGAATACAGATTTCCTATTCATTGTTCCCGTTTTATGGATTGTGAAGATGTTGATTTTTGATATTCATAAATACCAAGCCGTTTCTCAGTAAGCATAGTTTCATAAACTTTCTTGCAACGAAATTAACAATCACAAAATGAATCTTCAGGTACCAACTTGATGACACCGCACCGTAATCCACCAAAATTTCCATTTTCTCAAGATGTCTCAAGATGGCTTGCGAAAATGTCTAACTTACCGTAGTCTGGATATCAGACTGCACAATCTAAAACATTTTTCCCACAGAACCTTGAAAATACCCGTTAGAATAGACTTTTCAGTTATATTTCCTCTTCTATGACGAATCTCACACCACACGACGGTAGTTTTTACCCTGCTGGTTTCTCGTCTAGAGAAAAACACAATGAGCATTGGAGTGCTTTCACGAATGAATTCACTTTTATTGGTGAGGCTTTTAAATCCAACGGCATAATATAATAGAAGCATCTCTCGGGAAAAGCGATTGTGCCTTTTGTGTTCTATGGAACTTTTAGAGGCTGAAACAATGCTCACTAAGATATGAAATCTAATAAAAAAAAACTTATCAATAGCCATAGAAAACATAGATGTGCAGTTGGCAGTTAGTTGCCACAATCACTACTATGAGTAATGTGAATTTCTTTCATAAGACTTTACTTTAATGTCCAATAATTTGGAGTCATACGAAACGAGACCAAACCATGAAGATTTATCGGAAAAAGAGACTATTAACTACTAAAATAATGTTCAACATACATGTGCGACCTTTCGCAGTGTCACCTTTTACACTCTCAAGCTGTCTCTCTTAGCTAATCTTACAAATTCGATCCGGCTATTAAAGATTAATAATTTCATTCGATTCGACTTGATTGGATACGCTGAACGTGCCAACTGTAAACAACCCGGGGAAACGTGAGCCGAAAAACGCGAGTGTCATCTTATTTCATCGCTTTTCCGGTCCGCTTTCCCCCTGACAAGCACCGATGATGTATAACGTGTGTCCACTTCTATTATTAGACGTCTTCTTCGGTCCCATCTGCGATTATGTGATCGCCCCAATCGCACGGTATAACGCAGTATGGGGAATACCTATCCTCACCACCGGAGGCTTCACGGATGCATTCACAATCAAGTCACCGCACTATCCGACCCTGACTCGGATGATGGGCAGCTACAGTGACACCGGTCAGGCATTGCGGGAAATCTGCAGACATTTCAACTGGACCACTCAGGCCCTCATCTATCATGACAACGATGAAAAACGTGGCAAGGGTCACTCGGACTGTTCGATGGCCATATCATCAATCTTTCGCGTTCTCAACACGACGGAATACTTTTCGCACAATTTCGACGAAACCGAGACGGATTACAAGGAGTACCTACGAATATTGGAGCAAACGAAGAGAAAGGCCCGAAGTAAGTGAATTCAGATTTATTTTAGTTCTCACTTCAATAATAGCTCTTAATACTGACGTATTGCCAATTAAAACGGCATCAAAGCAATTTATAACGCCAACGGTGAATTGTGACGATTGCTTCGGCGAATACGGATCACGAAAAATAATACGCGCGATTTATTGTCCACTTAAAGCTAATTAACAGGAATAGACTAAAATACTCTAGTAAAAGTATTGACGACTGACACAACAAAACTGAAAACAAGTTGTTCCAATCGAGCAAGGCAGTGCATTTTGACGGTTCGATTGGAATAACTTTTGACAGACGTTCATACTTTTACATAGAGAGCTTTAGCATAGACTGCTAGCAATTGTTATCAGTTCAATGAAAACGTGTTCCGGATTTGAAATATTGGTTTTACTCCTATATTATACCCATTTTGAGAGTAAAACATTCTCATTTTTATTTCACTTTTATCACCCGCCCAAATCTCACACACATACATAACGCCGAGTGCCAAGATTTCAATATCAACTAGGTACTACCATGCAATCAGAGCTATTAAGCTTTCTCAGCCAATTTGGATTATCAGTCAATTAGCCTGAAAATCGATGTATCAATCAACACTCCAGTCATGTGCTTATCTAAACAAGAAAAATATGATTATTGGTTCGTTTTTGGTTCACACATCTTCTTCTTTGGCTTTATTACGTTCCTACTGGGACTTTACGCCGGTTCTCAATGCTTTGTGCACTCCCAAATTTGTTAATTGAGAGCTTTCATCATACGTATGTCGAACATTTCTTCAACCCGAAAAATCCCAAGACTGTTCCGGCCACCTCCATCATGGTCTTGCTTTATAGCTATGTCTTTATCGACTGAGCTAAAGGAGGCCCCTTACATACACTTACCATAAAGAGGGAGAAAATCGTTTAATCAGCGTCTAACAAACTTATCTACTTCAATCATTTCCGCTTATGTATTTATATCAGAGTTACTTCCTTGATGCATGGCTTTTTATGGCTTTCAACGTGCAGCTTATACTTGTTTGTGCATTAGAGTGGTTCAAAATATCGATTTGGCTCCACTCCCAAAAGTTGACGTAATCTGGTTGCGAACTCATACTATACTGGTTCTTTGAAGTTTATATGAGAATTACTATTGGAAATGTAACCTTTTTTTTTTGTTCCCCTCATCCTAGCCTTTTGCCATAAAAATTTACGTGTAAGCTTGCTACTTACTTTTCTCAGCTAAAACTTTGTTTTGCTTAGTCATTAATTAGTCTTCTCAGCTGGCAACATTGGTGTACCTGGCGCAAAGAATAGGGTAAAAAAATCCAGGATACTATGTGACAGTGTTGAAAGCAGTATTGCCCTGAAAGCAGTCGATTAATCTTATCAGAAAGTTGTCGGCTTCGAAATCAATCAATAACAAATATCAAAAAATGGTTTTGAACAAAGTTGTAGCTAAAAAAAAATTGTATTGGCCAACTTACCCTTGAATCATTTTTACGAAATGCTAGGATGAGAGAATCAAAAAAATTCCTTTATCTTAGTAGTTCCCATATAATCTATAAAGAGTCAGGGCAATATGAGTTTGCAACCTGATGTGGAATCAATTTAGTTAGTAGGAGCAAAATCGATAATTTGAACCACCCTAATATTCAGTACTTCCTTCCTTCGTGTGGTTTTATGTTTATGCGGCTTCCATGGCACAAATGGAGTCAATTAAAAAAAACCGTGGAATTCAAGGACTAGCCATTTGCCGTTTTCTATCACCTACGGAGAGAAATAAAGTTTGAAATCAGAACATTGCTGAACCCTAGTAGCACGCTTGTCATAAAACAGCTGCGGAAGCATTTATATGACTTATTTTAGTCATAAACAAGGTGCTGCAACTTTGCGAGACGGCAGTGTGCTACTTAGAAAGTGTGATTGTGTAAAATATGGGAAACCGATTAAACGAGATTGATAAATTTACATACTTAAACATTTTCAAATGTTTGGATTCTGATAGTTCATGTAATATTTGAATAAACACAATCGTTAAAACGTACCGCGTATAAACCGACTCCAATGCATGTAACATAATTGTTTTGGCCCACCAGCTGATATGGATTCTAACATTTGCTGCAGAGCTTTGTGGAGCTCGATAATATCCTGTGGGATATATTGTTGTCATGATAGAGTATTTCTGGTTCTCCAAACAATCCAAGAATTTTAATCTTGATTGTACGTTGTAGTGGTACCTCCATAAAATCATGTGGGCCTTAAGTTGTATTTAGTGTTAGGATATCTTAGCTTCTCTTCCAAAGCGCCTGGAGCTCAGATCTTGAACTTCTACAGGCTCAACGAGGTAAGTACGACATCCTGGCTAAATGTTGGAATCCATTAAAGTTTTTGGTAGCAGGGCGTCACAATATCAGTTCGAATCGATAATATCGATGCGACGAAGAGACTGCTAGTTTCTTTTTTTTCGAGGCGAGCAGCCTCGAATCATTCTAGCTTCTCAATAGGCGTCTACAAACAAAATATCAATCCAATGCACTATGGGCAAAAATGGGTCCAAAATTACCCAAAATTCAATATCTCAACAGCACGCTGAATTCTGGCCATGAAAAACAACTTTTCCGAAGGGAAATGATATTAAAAAAATGCATTTTGTATTAAAAAACATTGATTGTATTTTCACTTTTACCCCTTACTCCCCTATAAAGTGTACCCCGTATTCCCCTAATATCTCATGAACTATTGTTAAAAGACATAGTATTCTAAAACCATGCATAAATTGCTTATGTTTTACGAAAAATAGAGCTGTGAAAAAACATTTCCTCCAAAAAGTAGGGGAAAATGGGGAAAAATGGTCCAAAACACATACCTACAAGGCTCTCCGGTCTATGGAACCACGTGCAATCGATTCCCCGGACGATTTTCCTTGGGAAAAGTCGTTTTTCATGGCCGAAATTCTGCGTGCTGTTGAGATATTGAATTTTGGGTAATTTTGGACCCATTTTTGCCCACAGTGCAATGTTTCTCTTTCTCCCATCCCATAATTCGTGTTTCTTTCAAGCTTCGGTAAAGCGGACGAGTGAAAGAGCGCTTGACTACACAGAAAAAAAGTTGTTGAATATTACATCCAAACTGCTGCAACCAGGTCAATCCATCGGTTGTGTAATATAACGTTGTACGATGTACATCGATTTTGCGAACAAAATTTCATCCATTGATGTAATATTGTGTTTGTTTTTTGCTATTACATCATTATTTCATGCATCAGCTTGAATAACATTGATCGATATTACATTTTTTGCTGTGTATGATCAATTCGTTTTTCATGTGGCACAATGAAAATATACATTTCAATATATATATTCATGTCGCACATCAAAACACTTGAAGATAACATGTAATGTGTTTAATTTATCTTCCATCCACGTAGGAGAAATGGATGAAATGTCGGCCTGAATGCCCCGCGTTCATCTAGATAAAATTGATAAATAGTAGATTTTTAGCAATGGGCCCAATCTTAGATCCATTAGCCAACATTAGAGCCATTTTATTTATCGAAAAAAAAAATAACAAAATCGACGCATAGGGAAGAGCGCTACTTCGTCATAATCGCCCATTTCCGTTATATCGAGCATTAATCATCAATACTATAATATCAATGATTTCACCGTGCACAAGTGTAGTGGTAAGCGCTGCCTTCCTGCACATTTGATTGCCGTCAATGGATGGCAATCGATGTCCGTCGGTGATTGGCACTAGATTGCGGAACAGAGACCGACGTTAAATAAAGGAAAGAAAGAAATCAATAATATGTTTGTTGCGATTTGTTAGTTCATAAGCCACAACATAAAGCCTATTGCAGCGCATTGTATTAATATTTACACTCATTGTTCTCAAAACAAACGAAGCGCTCCTAGCGAATCCACTTTTTCTACCACCAGACGAAGAAAATCTGACGGCGTTTCAATGCGTTAGGACGGAATTGAAACTCGTAGGCCGAATTTAGAATCAAGAAGCAGTGTTAAATTTTAATATTATTTCAAAAATGTTTGACTCTTAATCAAATCCGACGTACCGTACCGTTAGAGCTATATTTGATGAAAACATTCCATGTTTTGTTCAAACCCTTTCAAACAAGAGAGGTAAAGTGCGGAATGTGCTTAGTAGGACGGAAATAAGATCAAAAACCCTAATGCATATAAAAAATAGGTATCATAATATCGGTGAAAGAAAGTAAAATCCAAATTAAGACTTCGTTCCAACTAGAAAATCGACGTTACTTCCATCGAAAGCAAATGAGCAAAGCAAGACGAGAAAATCCATAGCTAGCTTCGTTCTAAGCGTGCTTCTTTTCATTTTTGTTTGTTGTTGGTAGACTAGACAGGCGTGATGTAAATGATGCGTTAAACACGTTGCCTGGAAGGAGGAAAAACTCGAGCTCATTTTAAAGCTTCGAAAATGTAGCCCTCTGCTTGGCATCTTATTATATCAGTTAAAATATATACTTGAAATGAAAAATTTTGTTGAGCTCTCAAAATTATCCTATTTTAGATCTTGATGCTGTACAAGCTCAACCAAGTTTTGTTGGATGTACCAACTGACTATACGAATCTGTAGTATCTGTAGAGCAATGTGGGAACTTTTCACATCGTTGTAAGACATACTGTTGCATTGTGTACCAAGACGAACTAAACGCATTCGAACGGCTTCTTAAAGCTATAACACATCGTGGAAAACTTACACTTGTATTGACAATAAGCTGATAATACGGTTTTGGAAAGCATAATTGAAAACAAGTCCAGGTATTTTGGAATTAATTAATTAATTAATTGTATTCAAATATTTGTGACCAGCTTAATTTAGCTGTTTCTTCTACACTTCATGAGTATAATACAAAAACTGAAAATGAACTTAAATCATGCCCGAGAATCTTTTTCAATTACGTTAAAACTAAAATAATTCATGCCATTCCCCATCAAAAATAACTTGAGACGAAAAAGTAGGTAATAA